GGATTTTGGGATCCCAGGGAGGATTTTGGGATCCCAGGAAGAAATTTTGGGGGTTACAGGAAGGATTTGGAGGTGCCAGGGAAGGATTTGGTCATTCCAGGAAGGATTCTGGGATTCCAGAGAGGGATCTGGTCATTCCAGGGAGGATTTTGGGATCCCAGGGAGGATTTTGGGATCCCAGGGAGGATTTTGGTCATTCCAGGGAGGATTTTGGGATCCCAGGGAGGATTTTGGGATCCCAGGGAAGGATTTTGGGATCCCAGGGAGGATTTTGGGGTTCCAGGGAGGATTTTGGTCATTCCAGGGAGGATTTTGGGATCCCAGGGAGGGATTTTGGGATCCCAGGGAGGATTTTGGGATCCCAGGGAGGATTTTGGGATCGTACCCAGGCCGTGCTGGAGTTCGGAGATGTTTTTCCAGGGAGGGATTTCGGGGTCCCAGGGAGGGATTTTGGGATCCCAGGGAGGATTTTGGGATCGTACCCAGGCCGTGCTGGAGTTCGGAGATGTTTTTCCAGGGAGGGATTTCGGGGTCCCAGGGAGGGATTTTGGGATCCCAGGGAGGATTTTGGGATCCCAGGGAGGATTTTGGGATCGTACCCAGGCCGTGCTGGAGCTCGGAGATGTTTTTCCAGCCCGTGTTGTGCTCGTTCCGTGTCCGGAATTCCCGCAGCTCCCCGAGCGCCGCCGTCGCTGCCGGACACACCAGAGGCCTCAGATCCCAAATTTTCCTCCATCCCGAGCTTTTCCCTTCCCAAAAAACCCCCCGGACTCACCTCTGGAGAGGCTGAGGCAGGTGAGGACGGCGAGGAGGAGGAGGCTGAAGGTCAGGAGCAGGATGGGGCAGGATCGGGCCGGGGGCCACGACCCGGGGGGGAGAGCGGCCAAAAAACCCCCTGAGGGAGGGTTGGGGGGGAGGAGAGACCCAAAAAATGAAGATTTACACCCAAAACAACCCCTGGAGAGGCTCCTCGGCCCCGGCTCCACCCCCCTCCCAAAATAGGACTCAGAAAAGGGATGAAAACGGGGCCAAAGTGGGTTAAAAATTGGGGAAAATCCACTTTAAGGAGGTGAAATCTCCA